CCACGAAATGGCCAATGTATTTTGCCAACATTATTCTTTCTTGATCTAAACTGGGCCTTACTAATCTTGGGCAGTACATATATAAGCAGTATCCGTCCCAATCACACAGCTGATGTGGGTTGTCCAGCCCACACAGCTTTAAGACTGTGTTCACCACAGTCTCCTTTGCTCTGTTCAAGGCAGAGAAACTTACCGAGAGAAAGCTAACAATGAACAAAAGCTAATATAGCAAGCATAACTGAGCTAGCAAGAACATCTGTTCGTCCGTCTATTCAGCCTCACTGTCTTTAAAACTTTGCCAGATAAGGCTTTTAATTTAATTTAAGCTGCGGTCATAGTGGGGTCTACAGCACGACCTGTAAGCTGTTTTACTCATTTGTGCCCACTTGCGCTGTTGTGTTTAATTCTGCTTCAGTGGTGTAGCAGGGCTGAGGGCTGTCAATCACGTGTCACAGATAAATCTGTTTTATTATATTTCTGTCCTGTTTTTCATTCAAACTTCGCTAGATGCTTAATGTGACACTCATCCACATATTTTTTTTACATTTACAGTGTTCCCTGGACTTTAAACTCAACATGGTCTGAGGTAAATTTGTGATAGTTTAGACATGCAGTTAGCATGATGCTAACTGTTGGCTAAAAGCTTCTGTTACATGTTAGCTATATTAGCCTTGAAGCTCCAGTGTAAACTATAGCAGCAAATTTCAACACCAAATTTGTCTTGGTTGATTGGCTTTTTTGAGGTAAGGGAGGATTTTTTGCCAAACTACCGATTTTAAAGAAAAAGCAAAACTAACCTGAGACCAAATATGGCATCTTTTGCTAATCCTGAGGTAAAAGACCCTTAAGACTGTAAAACAGGACGTTTCATTTCCAGTGTCTTTCTGCAGAATGTCACTGCAGGGACAGAGCAACGTGCTTCAGTAATCTCCAGATTAAAGGGTTATCAGCGTCCTGGGGTTGGGCTGGACATCGTCCTGTGGCATCTGGACATCTCCTGCTATTTTTGCTTAACTCAGTCAGGAGCAGCAATCAAATTAGCTGGACAAAGCTAGAATGATGCATGATTGTATGGCTTATGTGAACGATCACATGTACGATTTTTGTACAGCGTTTGCCGTTTTTGTACTACAGCAAAGAGTAGTGAAATGTTGAGAAAATACAGATCTAACCACTACAGATGATTTTACAGAGTACATCTCTTACACTGAGCTCACAACACAGCAATGGCTCAGCCACTCCCTAGTAACCACCTGGAATTACAGTATAAACCCCATTAAGATTTAAAAAAAAAAACTATCGACAACTAGCTACAACAATTTTACAAACAGTTCCCCTTCTACATTACACTTAGACATCTTTCAGTCATTACATATAAATGCATGGTGTTACCAATGTCTTCTTCTGTTTGCACCTCCTGTCTTCTACCTGCACTTTATCATTTTAACAGCACTGTTCATTGTTTACTGTAAATCCATACACACATAGAGCTGAATCCAAACAGCTCTAACACTGTTGAGCGGCATTAAAGAATCTTTCATCATGAATCTTGATAATTCAAGCAATAGTAACTCAAACCATCATTTTAAAAAATTGCATATATATGAATGATCTTTCAGGGAACTACTTGGTTTTATACTGTAGTTTTTTTCTTTTAATGTAAATTTGATGTTGTACTTTAACTTTACTCAAAGGTTTACAGCACTTTTACTTGAACAAAGTATTTGCTCTTTATTTGCTATTTGTACTGTTACTGTACAATGCTTGTTGTAGTTGTTTACTGGTTGTCTATAGTTGGTCTAAATCTGCCTGTACTGACAATATATTATACAGTCAAAAGAACCCTGGTGTATAAGTCTACCCCTGGTAAAATTACGTTTTGTTGATTTTCTAAGTGAAAATAAATGAACACATCCTCTGCAGGAAAACAAACTCAAAGATGGATACATTACACTCAAGGAGTGTAACATATAAAATAAAACAAAATAAAATTTCTAACTGGTCTTTATGATACGTGGCTGTAAGGAAATGGTATGTAAAGCTTGACATGCAAAAAAATAAAAGAGCATTTGCCTGTATGCGCAGTGTTTTCCACATATTCTTCTACACCAAAGCCACAATATTTTTAAAAAGTGTTTAGAAGTGTTTAGAAACTTTGTGCTAGGAGCTGTTGTTTACAGTTTTTTTTACAAAAAGTTGAGGGGACAATATTGGGACGTAAAAAGAGGCGGGGACATGTTTCCAGCGTCCACAGTGTAAGTGATTTCTATGCATTAAATACACCAGAAAAAAATTGTGCCCTAATTTATGTTGTATTACTTTTGTTGTGATATTGCCCAGCCCTAGAACCATTTTCAAATCATTCTTTCAAGAACCATTGAGGCGAAAAACATTTCAGTATGCATAAGATCATATGAGTTCTCATGGTTCCACATATAACTGCTGCTTTTACTAAACAACCCTCGAACTTGTTTTTTTGATTGTTTGTTGTTGGTTAGTTCAATCAAGTACATACAGAAAAACTAAAACGAGAATCATAAAATGATACACTTTGATTATTTTAATGTCTTCATTCCAATCTTTATCATTTACCTAAAAAAAGAGGAAAAAACTAAAAACAAAACACAGCAGGCAAAATGCATTAAAAGACATTTTTTAAAATGTCTGTATGTTAATTCTGATGCAGATTTTGAACCACTGGCACCTCCAGATTTAACTTATGTCGCCCCCTGGCAGGAGTTGCCCCATGTCAGCTCCCTTGCAGATCGCTTTGGTGTTACTCTTTGCAGATCACTCCGGAGTCAGATCACTCTGGAGTGCACTCTGCCAGATCATAAATTGCTCTAGTTTGCCCCACCTGGTGGATCGCTCTGGTGTCACACCGTTCGATCACTCTGAAGTTGCTCTCTGGCAGATCACTCCAGTGTTGCCACCAGTAAGATTTCTCTAGAGTTGCACCCTGGCAGGAGTCGTTTGCTCTGCAGTTGCCCCCTGCCAGATTGCTTTAGAGTCACTGCCTTACAGATCGCTCTGGTGTTGTTTCCTGGTGGGAACTGCTGTTGGTAGTTGATTCTGGAGTCACCCTGTGGCGGATCACTCTGGAGTTGCCCCCTGGCATATCATTCAGGAGTCACCCTTCGCACTGGTGTCCCAATCCCTCCCCCTATTCCCTCACCACACTGTTGGGAGCTCTCTTCAGTGTCTCCCCGTGGCATATAGATCCAGTGTTGCTCCCTGGTGAATCACCCTGGGGTCACTCTCTGGTGGATCTCTTCATTGTCACCCTCAGCCCCTCATATTTGCCTGGCAAAACCCTCTGAACTCTTCCTCACTGCCAGATCACTCTGATACCATTTGTAATCCAGAGCTATTAATCCAACGTAAGTACCAGACCCCACTAATGATGGCTGAATGCAATCAAATTCCTACAGCAATGTTCCAACAGCCTTACCAGAAGAGGAGAGGCTGTTAGTGAAGCACAGGGGGGACAAACCCTCTATTAAAGGTGCAATGTGTAAGATTGGGGTATCTATTAGCAGAACTGGAATATATTATACAAAGCCATGTTTTCATGACTGTATAATCACCTGTAACTACAAATGTGTTTTCATCAGCTTAGAATGAGCCCTTCATATCTACATATGGAGCGAGGCCTCTTCCAAAAGAGGCTGCCATGTTGTGCCACCATGTTTCTACAGTAGCCCAGACAGGACAAATGAAACACTGTCTCAAGAGTGTTTTTAGCATGGTTACGTTGAATTTGGTGGCGCTGTAGCACTGGTTGGAAGACATGGAAAGAAGAAGAATCAGTGGTTGCTGCCGGTGCTGGCTAAACATTTGTGTTGTGGGAAGTTTGAAAACCCAAGTTTTGACAAGTAGAGGATCATTACTTTTATTTAGCAAAGGAAAGGAGGGTGAATTCTCATTGTGAAAGAAGCAAAAACCTGACAGCCAATGTAGGTTCTCCTACACCCAGGGTCGACAACATGCAGCTCCAGAGCCACATTAGATTTTTGGGTAAAAATAAAACAATCCTCCTTTGCAGTAAAAATTAAAGCTCTGCTGATCATGCCAACACAGTTTTAACAATAAATGGTCTTAAACGCTGAAGGTTGGCATGCACACAGCAACACAGACAACAATCACGCCTAGTTAATACTGAACGAAATGGCAAAGAGAAAGATTTAAGACAAACATTGATCAATTTGAGATACATGGACAGACTTATTTGCATCTATAAGCACTGCAGCTGGTTTCCTGATACGTTTAATCTGCAATGAGAAACTGTCAAACACTAAAAAGTTGCAAAGCTGAAGTCAGCTTCTCGTTCGCCAGCTTCTTGTTTGAATTGTCCCGTTCCACCTTAAATTGTTCAGCAGTTACATTCTGGCGCCTTAGGCACCATTTAAGGTGGAACAGGAAAATTCGAACAAGAAGCTGGCGAATGAGAAGCTGACTTCAGCCTTGTAAAAAGTTAAACGTCGAGGGACATTTTACAAGAAACTACTTTTGCGGAAAAGTTTCCTGCCTGAGACGCAAGAAAAACGGCTGTAGCTGAGCCATAAGTAAGTCTGCGTTTTTGTTTATATTATATTTTTAGCCTATACTAGAACATTAGCACATACTGAAACATATTTACAGCCAAGATGGTGAAATGTTTTTTAAGAAAAATGGACATGGAAGTGTTGTGGCTCCCAAGGTGGTTAGATTTTTGTTGAAATGGGACAAAATGGCTTTTTCTAACAACTGTCCTACACGCTTAGTAAGAAAGGGGTGAGGGAGGGGTATTCAGTTGGTTGGAATCTGCAACCTCACCTCTAGATGCCATTAAATCTGACACACAGCACCTTTTAATACTCTTGATTATAGAAGAAACACTGTATGAGCAGGTGTCTGCAAACTTTTGGACATGCATTTTTACCGCTCTGCTGGCGCCCCCTGGCGGGTCGCTCTGGAGTCGCCCCGCCGGTTCCTCCCCGCTCTGGTTGTTATGGAGAAGCTTTTCCCCCGCGGCGCACAGACACACACACACAGCAGCCGAACGGGACACAACAACCAGGGCCAGAAAAGAGGACATGAATTCACGACTCCATCACCTTTCCACAGGTTTGACACCAAACTGCTTATGTTGTTTCGCAAATTGTAAAAACTTGGGTGTAGAAAGTTTTAAGATGTGTAAATGTGGTTCGGTGAACGTTACTTGCTCTGTAACGTTAACAGGTTCCTGTCGAGCTAACGTTTTAGCCGGCTTGTCTTTCGTTTCGTAGTTAACTTACTAGCCACTTCCTTGGCACATAACACGGTCTAACGCCACTTTTTACCACAGGCTGGGCTATAAAATTGACGTGTTGTGTCAAAAAAAGCTGATTTAGCGATAATATCTTATCGTTCTGTGTGGAGGCGTGTAAGTTTTTCATTCAGTCAGACCGACTTCGCCAGTTCCTCAGGAGCTAAGGTGAGTTAGCTAGCAAGCTAGTAAAGAGTGTCAAAAATGATATTTAAACTATGAAGAATATCATTGTAGTATATATAGTTGAAAAACCTGTCCATGGACATTGAACAGTTGTTTTACGCGAAGCTAAAGTCGTCTCGTTCGACAGCATCTTGTTCGAATTTTCCCGTTCCACCTTAAATTGTGCAGCAGTTACATTCTGGCGCATGCAGCATTTAAGGTGGAACGGGGAAATTCGAAAAGGAAGCCAAGTTTAACCTCGCCTGTTTTGCGTACTATTTACTGGTCCCATGTCGGTTTACTGCGTAGTAAGTGCAGCAATGTAACCTCACAGATAAGCCAGAGTTAGAAAGCACATCATTATTTAGCTCTCACTTCATAAAAATGCTTACAGTACGTCCTTCTGTCCCTTCCTCCGAATGCCTTTGCCAGATTATGTAATAAAAGGCTGCAATAAAACTAAGTTGACCTCAGCTGCCACCCTTTTATATTTCTAGGGCTGTAATAAGAAGAAATAAATGACACTTTGTCTCAGCTGTGGGTCACACACAGTTAAAGACGTGGCATATAAACGCTCATTATCTCAGATTCAGCAGATTAGGGCAGTTGCAACACTGTGTTGCCTTTCACAAACTACAGAACCCCCTCTATGCTTTGTTTTTAGGATGGAGGTGTGTTCATGTTTCTTCATGTAACCTCATGGATGATAAAATATAGGTTTTTTTTGTACCTTTGGAGTGTTGGCGGTGGCTTTCCGTCCTAACGACTCGTCCATTTTTTGATCTTGATAAGAGCATGAAAAGTAGAAAAGCATGCCACGTAAAGATTCTCTCAGCAAAAGCATTAATCACTTTCTTTTTTAGAGCTAAATATCACCTATTGGTTAGCAACCTGTGGATCGCTGGACTCCTTCACTTCTTTTTTCTGGATGAACGCTCTCCCCTCATGTCCGTCCATCCTCCATCCCTCTTCCCTGCCCCGGTGACTCATTTCCTCCCTGGCTTTTTTCCTCTTCCTCTCATTCCTCTTTTTCCTCTGTAGTAGAGTGTTGTACACTGTGTGTCTGGTTCAGACTGTGTATGTTTGTTTTTCCTGTAAAAGTCACTAGTTTTAAAGCCGAAGTGAAGGCTGCCTTCCATTTTTAACGTTCAGTTGGAAGTCTGTGTTGTTCCCTGGTTTTTCTTGGACATTTTTGGAATGGTGGGATTGACCTATCCATATAAAAGCTTTCTTTCTTGTTGCAAAGTTGGGCGAGCTTTACAGGACGTTGGCAAAATCCCATTCAACGTAATGAGAAATTATTCATTTCAAATGATATTTACTTTGTAAGAATGTAAAATATGTCGGAATAGATCTGAGCCCTTATTCATCAAGCTCCTTAGAGTCCTGTAAGTAAGGTCACTGTAAATAACCAAAGAATCTGATTCTAGATCAGCACTCTGAAAAGCTTTATGCATGTGGGCCCAGGTTAGGGCTGAAATAGTAGTCATTTATATATAAAATTACTATTTGAAAGAGTGCAGTTTTCACATCACAGGAGCTTCAGTTTTCACTATAGCCTATGGCAACACAACCACAACTAACTGACTATGTTCAGCACTTAAACCTAAAGCCAGAAAAGGTAAATATGCTAGTCTTGATGGCCAAAAACACAGACCTGAACTTTGATTTATAGAAACTAATCACAAATGGAATTGAACATATAATACAGGGCTGGAAATTGCCGTTAGATATTTTCACCACATCACTCATCCCTGTGAATGGTGATGGATGATCAAGGTGTTTAGGGATATATATCTGATTAATAGGCTAAGCAAAAAGTTCACCAGCTTCAGCTGTTTTAACATCGAAAACTGGCTAAGTTATTGCCATAGTCTACACCGTTATTTGCAGTAGCATGGCTGAAGTTACTCTAAGAGATTTGTTGACAGTTTTGCTCAATGTACTGCCATAATCTACCAACACTGCGCCAAAAGCAGAAAACATGATAATGTGCTGCCTTGTGCTGGATGATTAAATTCAGTTTGGTTATTTAAAAGTCTCTGAAGTCAGGAAGCTTGCTGTAGCTATAAGGTAGATACAAGAACTACACCTGATCTGTCGTAATTGTGTGCCCTTTCACACATGTTGGAAGGAAATTTTACCAGCTTTCTATAAAGCTTACCCAACTTCACAACAGTAGCTATGAACGAACGTTTTTGTGGGTGGAGCATGGATATGTGAATCGTCTGGACAACACTTTCTGGGCATGTGTGGTGTCTGATGTGTCAGGTTAGTAGGAGTGTAGTTTAAATGGGGTCTCAGGGTCTATAGTGCTGTTTCTCCCATCCGGTTATGGATTAAGGCCATATTCCTTGCTAGCCTTGGGCCAGTAATTGATGTTATGAAATACTGAAATAATTTAAATAACTGCCGATTTTATGCAAATTAATGCTCTTTTGCTATCTTTCGCTTGCCACATGATTTTATTTATTTTTAAATATTAAATCATCTTCTTTATATCATCGTTCTAATCTGTGGTTCATTAAAATTGTAAAAAGTATACAGTAGCACTTAATTATAGGCTATATACACAAACCACCAATTGTTTGTACTAATTAGCTACACACATCCATACTTTAAAGACTGTACCATCCATTTTCAGTCTGGCAGTGCTGGGCTCCAATTTGCCAATGTTTTGGTTTTCAACCAGACAAATGCAGAGGATCACTGGATGTTAGCAGTGTTAATTGCCATCTGTGCAGATAATAATGATCATTATAAGTTGTTAAATAATATTAGAAGCTACCCTAGTTGGTGATTATATGGTTATGATAGTACCATCAGGAAAAAAGCAGGCTATAAAGCAGGGGTATCCAATCTTATCCACAGAGGGCCGGTGTGGCTGCAGGTTTTCACTCCAACAAAGCAGGAGATCACCTGATCAGCTGTTTGAAGACTGAAACCAACTGATTAAACTGACTGAAGCTTGTTTTGAGGGAAAACCTGCAGCCACACCGGCCCTTTGTGGATAAGATTGGACACCCTTGAGATAGAGTAAGGCTCTGTAACACACATGTGCTACTTAATAACTGAAATTGGATCATGATAATATCGGTTATCAGTAATTTTACATTATCCAAACCTATTGAAGGCCACAGATCCCGGTTTTCTTTTTTAGACAAACACCAGTACAGGTGTGTCACCTTCAGTCAGAATGTACTATATTAATATAATTATAATACAGCTTACACAGGTTTAACCTGCAGGAGCAGTGGCTGAGCCAGTTAGAGCGAAGCTTCCACTGAAACAGTTATTTTGTTAATAAAATGAGGGCATGTGTGCTTTCAAATTAGTCGTACACTCTCAGAAAAAAAGGTACGAAATTGTCACTGGGGTTGTACCCTCAAGGGTACATCTCAGTTCCTTTAGTCAGAGAACATAATTGTGCCATAACCCACTGAAATTATGTTTTAGTTGTATTGACTCCACACACCCCGTCTTGTCTCCAGGCATTTTTATTTTACTGTTCTATTTTAAAACATTAGATTATGAAAAAGAGTAAGTATGTACTTTTCACCTTGGAAAAACAGATTTAAGGTCCACAGTTGGACCTTAAAACCACTGACATACCTTTGAGGGAACGTTTACATTGTTTGTACCTTGATGAATGAAAAATGTACCTGCACAGAACCTTTATTTCTAACGGTGTAGTTCATACTTTCCTGCCAACTTAAGTCGTTAGAGCCTAGTTAATCACATTCTTGGTTTTGAAAAGCTTTTCAAATTATTACCAGACCATTTATTCACTTAGTTAGGGATGTTAACACCATTTCTGCAGGGTCTGATGTACAGATCATTGCAATAAAGGAGTCGTCAGGGAATGGTTTGTTCAGTAAATTTTATGAAATTTGTGTTGCTTAGAAAGGTATGGGCTTTTAAATTACTATTTTAGTGACAAATAGTACCCAAACATCCCAGTGAGAAAATATTTCATATTCAGTTGCTATCACAAACATCAGCAAACATAACAAAACAGTACTAACCTAATGGTTCTGTGAAACAGCAAAAATAAGTTAATGTAACCCATCTGTCGAGCAGGAGCAGCATCCTCATCCCTTTTCATGCCTTTTGACTCTGAATTAAGCTGAAGTCAGCTTCTTACTCACCAGCTTCTTGTTTGAATTTTTCCATGCCACCTTAAATGGTGCGTTAAAGGTGGAACGAGAAAATGCCAACATCAACTTTTGGAGGTCTTGTCACCGTTGAAATGCCTCATCTAATCTCCAGGGAAATATTTCCTGACAGTTAAATAAGCTGTACTTAATGGCTGTTTTGACTGGAAGTCTAATGAAGGGTGGTCTCTGACATGTGCGCAGTACTTTAGGACAAAATGTATTGGCTTTGAAAGAGCTTTGGTCAGCACATGGTGTGATGAGGCTGAATTTTAAAAACACCATTCACTTTTGCATAGTGAAAAACAGCTTATGCTAACTTGTGCTCAAAAGTCCATTGATGTGATGCTAATTGGTGTCTGTTTGCTTTCTTTATTCTTAGCAATGTCACTGTATGAACGGTGTCCCTAAACACTCCAATAAATATTGCAGTCTTCACATAATTTTCAATGATGACAGAACATTTGGGAAGCCAAAACCTCCCTTGTCGTGGCAACTCC